AGACTGCCTGTAACTACTATAGTTGAAAATATATACTGAGGTTGTCTTCTTGATGTTGAATTCACACTACTAAAAATTTACTAAACGCCTCATTAGTAAATGTTTCAGGACTTTCCTGTGGTTATATGAAGATGACAGATGAATACGCTGAATTGAAAACTTGACTGAATATCACACAGTGGTCCAGTCATACTTTCTTCCTCTTTTATACTCGCCATCCAGACGCGTCTGTGTAACGACAGGAAACAATGGCATTTGAAGGTAGAAGAATTTCCATGTCGAAATGATGAACAATTATGGCAAAGTACATAAATCTTACATTGAAATCTCATTTAGCAAATGTTATTCCTACTCAGCTTCTTTTATTTTCATCCCATACCACAAATATATATTGTTCCACAAAGATCTTTCATTCCTCCTCTTCTCGACTTAATCTTCGCCCTCCGTTATTCAAGATTCTTGGAAAACCTGTGTCAGTGGCACATATCATACATGTACCTGTTTGTTTTCCAGCCGGTACTTGAATTTATTTCTCATTATCTTAGGTGCTGGAGTATTACTAATAATAAAAAGAAATTCTTAGTTCAATCCTTTGAATCAATTATAAGACAGAGTAAAAACTTCCACTGACGGAATGACACATAGTTAACTGATGTTAGCTAATGAATATCAGTCCCTTTATGAATAAGGTCTAAACACTTCAGACTGTGAGTATTTAGCTTAGATTTCGCTTGGAACAGCAAGATATGTGAGCTACCAAATAGGCAGAAACACATGTAATCAAGAAAATGTCCTTTTTTTCTCTTTTTCAATTCCTTTCCATTCTGCTTGAAAAGTAGGGTTTCAAGAGTGAGCTTTGAAATTTCCGTAGCGGTAGTGTTGTTTATATGAGGTGAAGTTGCTAGCTTCATGCTCAGCCTTCCCTTTTCACTGCGTTTACTAATGGTCAGGTGTAGTGAAGGAGTGAGTCGGCCAGAAATGAAACCGCAACCGCATGCTTGTTTGGCAAGCATTCTATCTGCGAACTATCGACTCTAAAGCGGCCATACTTTCTATTTATTTCACTTTTTCAGTCCCTACGATAATTTTCTGTCAGCTTACGCGCAGTATATGGAAAATATCTTATAGTCTAATTGCAATGGACACACCGTTTTAGCCTATATTAAATTTGAATGGGCTCTTTCAAATCTAAATACACTTTTCAGAAATTTCTCGGCGGTTCACTTGTAGCTACTAAGCCTAGAAATCACGAATGACTTACTCTGCTGAAAGTATTCTACCAGTAAATGAATTTCCTCAGTACATCACAACTAACAGAGACAAAATGAAACATGCAAAACTTAAATACTGACATATTTATGAGGCTCATCTAGCTGGATAACCGAAGCTTTTAAATGACAATAATCTAATTTCTTCAGGACATTGTCTAGACGGGCTCGTGAACACCAACCAACATGACCGTCGAAAAGAAAATGCAGAACAGTCAATGGTTATATTCTGGAGCACATTATTTTTAGTCACACAACATCAAGAGAGGCCATTCCAAAGGATTTCCCCTACACCTCCTTCATGTAGCCGAAGCTATAGCAATCCACAAGGGAAAACCTAAACTTTGTGTTCAGGAACATTTTATACGGCCTCTTTCACTACCATGGACTTAGTGTCAATATTATTTTCCCGAACTGTTGCATAATAAACTCCATGCATTCCTGTTTTTATTCTTGTGACCGGTTTTTACTCCTTTGTTCTCGTGTCTCCTATCACAGTTATTTCCAAAAGTGACTATTGTTTACGTAAGACTGATTACTACTTTTCACACATATTTACTTCTAAACCATGTCAACGTGGTTATCACTAACTGACAACAACTTCTGAAATCTATTGTCTATCTACATTGTATATTATATATGATATATATAACCCCCTAAACAACTGGACAGCTATGCAGAGAAGCTACGAAAAGTGATCTCTCTGACGATTTATGTTACAAAAGTCTTCATTTCAACGGCAATCCATCAATTAAGTTTTAACTGATTATTTATTCAGAGCTCACAGGCGATTAAACACTACGTTTCGTAAATTTCTAAAGATATCTGGTGTCAGCAAATTCAGTAATGAAAACTTATACCCACTACAGACATTGATGGATTCTTGTAAGAAATTGAAAACTACTGTGAAGTGTGAATAGTTTCATTCCACATCAGTAGTTGAAGTCACGCTAGCTCTCTGAGCATAATAAAAATAATTTCCTTTCAAACTTATTTGGATTTTCAAATTAAAGAATGAACCCATTATTAATGAATGGACCTTATTTGTTAGTTGTTCTGCAGATAATGATAGTGATACAATTATCACTATGTCTCGACATATACTACTGATGAAAGTTTGCAAGTAGTGTATTGTATGTGATGTCTTTTCCAAGAATGTTTAATGACCGAGCGACAGGGAGAGTTTAGAAGAAGTATAAGCATTCCGTCATAACGGTGGATCATTTTGACAAATAAAGACCTCAATGTTCTCCCGCTACAATATTAACTGTGATGCTGCATACTACTGAATGAATGAAATGAGTAGTTGGATATCACCCACACCAACGAGTAGTGCATTCTAGTCAGATCGATTTAATCTGAACACCGGTTGACTGTTTCGCTCGTTTGAGACCAGTCTCACAAGCTGTTTATCCTCTCCGACTCAACTAAGATAGCCGAATCAATCTGGTTGGCTACTTTGGCAAAATGGCGATACACTCAGTCAAATTCACCATCTGCAGTTTACACATTCGGAGAAGAAACTTCACTTCACAGTTTTATTTCGAATCCGAAATTATTCAGACCACAGTATGTGATCTGCTTAACACTATGAAAGGCAATCAAGAAAGAAAGAATAAATGCAAGGCAAAGAAGGGCGACTTAGGACTCTGCAAGAACTGGCGAGGAATCATGCTCCTGTCGACGCCAAGTAAAATTCTGAGTCGCATCATCCTGGAGAGAATAAAGGACGCACTGGATACAGAATTCCGACCAGAACAAGCTGGATTCAGGAAAGGCAAATCATGTTCTGACCAAATTGCAACTCTACGCATCATCATCGAACAAAGCATGGAATGGCAATCAAACCTCTACCTCAACTTTATAGACTTTGAAAAGGCCTTCGACAGCGTTGACCGCGAAGTAATTTGGAAACTACTCGAGTACTACGGCGTACCCCAAATATTCATCAACCTTATTCAGCAGCTGTACGACAACGGCACATGTCAAGTGATCCACAACGGAAAACTCAGCGAGGCGTTTGGAGTAAACACAGGAGTCAGACAAGGGTGCTTATTATCACCAATGATATTCCTAATTGTGGTGGACTGGATTATGCGTCAGACAGTGGGAAACGAGAAGACAGGGATATCCTGGACAGACGTGAAGAACCTAGAAGACCTAGATTTCGCGGATGATTTATGTTTGATGTCACACAAAATCGAAGACTTACAAGCGAAAACCGACAAACTGGTCGAAGAAGCAGCAAAGACAGGACTCCAGGTGAACATAGACAAGACGGAGGTTATGAAAATAACCAACCAACAACAACAACAACAGCAGCAACATCCAGCGCCAATCACCATCAACGGGAGGGATTTGAAAGAGGTTACTTCATTCACTTATCTAGGGAGCATTGTCTCAACTACAGGAGGAACGGACGAGGATGTCAAATCGAGAATCGGGAAGGCGAGAAACACATTCATCAACCTGAAACCAATCTGGAAATCTTCGTCACTCAGCATCAACAACAAAATTCGGATTTTCAATACAAACGTCAAGTCAGTCAGTTCTTCTATACGGATGGATCAGAAACTTGGCGGGTCACAAAGAATATTTCCAACAGCCTGTTGCAGACCTTTATCAACAACTGTCTTCGCTCTATACTGAAGATCAGAGGCCGGCCGGAAAGAATCACCAACAAGAAACTATGGGAACAAACAAAACAAGAACCAATCGCTCAACAAATATGCAGGAGAAAGTGGAGATGGATTGGACACTCGCTGAGGAGGCCGCTGGGTGACATCGCGCGTCAGGCCAGTGCTCGAGTGGAACCCGAAAGGGAAGCGGCGAGTGGGACGTCCAAGGGTGACATGGAGGAGATCGTGTGAAGAAGAGTTGAAACAGTATGGACTAACATGGATGCAGGTGAAAAGTACAGCAGAAGACAGAAGCAAGTGGAGACGTGCAGTTGAAGCCCTATGTTCCACTAGGAACCCAAGGGAACAATAATAATATAATAATAGTAATACTATAGAATACTGACTGACTGAAATAAGTAACTGGATTAATCAAATTCCTCACAAACTACTCAATGAAGTCCAGAAAAGAATATCTGCTCTTGAGAATAACGTTTCACACAGATCTAAGCATTTAACATGCGACACAATTTTGAAACGCACATGTACGTATATATATATCAGCATGGATATCGGTAGCCCAAATTTTACAGGCCGACCATAGATATCGGGTGTGCGTCGGCAGGTAATCGAACCCCGGACCATGTGCATGGTCGGCGGGAGTCCTAACCACTGTGCTACCGACGCATATATATATATATATATATATACTGCAATTTGATACAAATTCATTGTGATGACCAGTGTTCCAATTAATTTCAGTTTAAAACAAATAAACCAATGTTCAACTTCTTTTAATGGCTCAAGATCTTACACCATTTTGTTGTGATATTATTGTGTTAATTCATAAATTACTTTAGGTTTTTTTCGAAACCCTCCTTCCTGATAATGAAATCTGATTTATATGCATATATTATGTATGTATAGAAGAATGCACAAACGGTCATCTATATTTAAGTCTACATGAGTATGAGAAATAGGAGTAGGATCTATCGATTACTGACAGATTTAAAAATCTACCAAGGCCGGCCATCTTTCTTTGTGATTAACAAATGCTTAATTAATTTTAATAGTAAAATATAAAGGAAGTTTAGTAAATTACTCATTCAATTCAATGTTCAATCATCTCATCAACCATTTGATAATCTTACTTGTTTTAATTACCTATATAAGTATAATGTATTGGACATTGAACAATAATGATGTTAGTTATACGAAGAAGAAAGAAATATGCTGTAAATATAAATTGGATATTATTGAAAAAGGAATAAATAATGAAATTATTGTTACAAATATTACTCATATACAACGTTTATTTCCATTTGAATCAAGAAATTCCATAGAATATAATAATCAAAAAGCCACAACATATATGAAAAATGTCTATGATTACATTATCAAACAATTATGTCAATTTCATAGAGAATTAAATAAAACTATTGGCAGACATGATTGCTGTACAATAAATGTTGATTATAATTATTGTTTGAATGAATTGAATTCACTTGGTTCAATGCCTAAAGTATACAGTCAGAAGAATTCATCAACACATGAACTACCGGATACACCATCAAAGTATAATTTATCCCGCGTTTATAAACATAAATATGAAAGTATGATTTGTAAATTAAGTAATGAAAAACGCAAGAAATTATATGGTTTGTTGAAAGAATGGATAAGTATAGCTGAAAAATATAAAATTATATGGTGGATAACATATGGAACATTGTTAGGATCGATAAGGTATGTTTGTCCACTAATTGTTTTGTTCTAAACTCAACCTGTTCAACGTTTTATTACGTAATTTTTTGGTGAAATTGCTGATCAAACTAGGTTGCATCGAAGTTGGTGATTTCTGATGATACCTGATATTCAAATACAAAGAAGCTTTTCCTTCTTTTGATTGGACACTAACTAGTGTCTGGTAGTTTGTTTGGTGCAGACTGAATTCTGTCAGTCAAGTTTGCAATGTAGCCACCATGCTAGGTGGCTCACCATCATGGTATACTCAGGATTGTTGTTATTAGATGGTTGGAGGCGATCGGCAGGAAGCCTTAGACTTAGGTTTCGTGCTAGTTGGCACTCAACAGTCAGCAAGGTGTATCTGCAACCTTGAAGGAACTCATGTCCCTTCTGATATTCGAACCCATGTCACCCAGTGCTGCAGTCAGAGACGTTACCACTGAGCTATTCGGACTCGCGATTGACCTCCTGTAGGACTGTATTGGATATTTTTGATTGGACACTAGTCAGTAACTAGTGCGATGTGGCTAGTCCTATCTTCGGTGCAGACCAAATTCTATCAGTCAAGTTTGCCTTGCTGATAAGTGCCACCTAGCAAGAAACCCAGGTCTGAGGAGACGAAAACGTATTGTCTTTGACAGGTTATTCCTCACTTAATATATTACTATGAAGGAGGCACTTGTTGAGACAGAATGACCAGTGTTGACATGGTTTTCGATTATCAAACTCCTATAAAGCCAATACTATCATTCTGAGACATGTGGGATAGTGTTCTTCAACCCTTTTAGACAGGTTACGCGTCGAACGACCAATGTACTTGTCTCTACAGCAACAGGTAAGCTGATATATGCACATAGAATTTGTCAAATGCTATATCTTGTCCCTAAGATTTCTGCGGACCAATGAATGACTTGAGAACACTACTCTTAGAGTTGCTTCGAAGAATGCTCCGCTCAAATATGATAAATTCTTCTCTTAAGGATATCGCAGATTAAGTCTCCCTCAAAATCCAAGTTCATTTAAAAGTTATTTTTTGGAACAAGTGACGTTTCTTTTCTCTGAACTTTTGGTTTGATATTCGTGTCCATGAATTTAGGTCGGTATCCATTTTGGATGATGATTTCTTTCAAAAGATCTAGTTCTGATTTTGGTGTATCAGGATTACGGATGCTTCGCATCACAGTGGAATGGGATTAAATTAAATTCCGTTTTCGTTCAGTAGCCGCCTCACTATAGGAACTTGGCTACTCCAAGTGGGTTTATTATGGACTTACCTTCTTAAGGATCTTTCGAATCGCCTTGTTAGTTCCACATAAAGAAAAAGAATTTGGGATTCGATTTATATTTCAAGAGTGAATTTTATTACTGGATGGCAGTTGTTAAATATCTTTGGTAATCGACTTAGGTCAAAACTGTTGTCACTAGTGATGAAAACATCACCTAGGTACCTTGTGCACAGTTACAAATTTTTAATGGTCGACTTTAATGAACCGTCCTCGAGGCTTATTATGAAACACTGTGCTAGTAATGGACACAAGGGAGATCCGATTGCGAAGGTATCCTTTTGTCTGTATATGGTGTCATTGAAAGTGAACTGTTAATTAACAACACACCTTAGCAGTAGTTTCTTTCATATACATTGTTGGTATTCTGATGTTTAACTGGTTGCCATATATGTGTTTACACATAAAACAGTTTCCATAAGTGGGACATCGGTGAAAAGTGATTCATTGTAGAAAGACAGCGTAGTTTTGTTAGTAGCGCTTATATCTTGCATGCAATCGATGAAATGGAAGGTATTACGAAGCAAGTAAGTGCATAGATGTTTCCTTACAATTTCCAGTCAAACATTTTGCAACATAATGACACCGATAAATAAGGCTATGGAAGCGGTCAAGAATGAAATGATCTCTGGCCGAGAACTTCGACTAAGAACCAAAGTACCACTAGAAGACATCATGCTAGGAATGCAGCTAATGCCTGATTTCCATAGTACTGAAATCCTAAGGATTAATATACAGACAAACCAATGGAGTTGCCATGGGATCACCGACATCCTCAGTATCGGCAGATATATTTATCTCAAAATATCCCCATATATTCATCAGCGGAAACTATTTTTTCAGCGAAGAGAAATATTTCTTTTCAACAACTTCAATTTCTAGATGTGCAGTCGCATTCAAATTACGTAAAAAAAAGGCATTAAGTGGCACTAAAAATTGCTCAGTCAATATACACATGTGATTAGAATAAAGATAATTAACGTGATGTCTAAGGAAATAGAGTTAAATAGGATGAACTCCAAGATTTTAAATTATTAAATTGATGAACTAGTATTAAGAGGTTTAAATTGAATCAAGTGAAGCAAAGAATCGAAATTTCAACGGTGACAGCAATTATGAAAGCGAAGATAAAGTGAAGCAAAGTAACCAAAAAGAACACTACTATGCATCACTTAAAACATCGTACTGGTTAAGGCATTCTACTTGAACGGTCACATCCGTGTAAGAGCATACTGACAGCTGTATTTTGGAGTGATGGTAACCAGTGGTATCCATCAGGGATGCCCACCGTCCTAATTTATTTTGTATTTCTATCAAAGGTGTACCAATGGAACTGACCCTAACTGACCTCAGAGACTTAGAGGGTCAACCGTTGCCAAGTAACACTCTCACTATGTAGATGATTTTGTTCTATGAGACGAAGACGCCGAACACCTTGAACAGGAACCTTCGAATGTTTGCCATGCAGTTCGCTTCCGTCAAATGTAAGATGATGCTACAGGGCTAGAATACACCGACTCCTAGCTTGAAGACAGGAGGTGAAGTAGTAGAAGATGTTTACTACTTCACTTACTGAGGAAATTGCATCAGCCCTAATCTCAGCACGAATGAAAAAGGTTCGTGTGACGTCTGCCAACTAGCGTCATCTCTGGAGTAAAGATGATATCCTGCTGTCAATCAAAGGACATGTGTACTGCTCAGCAATTCACTCCGTCCTTCTTTAAGGCTGTGAAACAAGGCCGTTAAAAGCAGAAGAAGCTGTCTCTGACCACATATGTTTACAATCTATCTCCCACACTAAGTGGTATAATATGGTAAACAATATGAAAGGTAGGTGTATCGTTTGGTAAGGACGTTACGTTAATCAATGAGGTTATGAAGCTACAATGATTGAGACAGCCAGAACACATGTTATTCATGCCAATCCACCGCCTTCCTTGACGAGCAATGGTAGCTGACATAGAATTAGGTTGAAAAAGACTTATGTATGATCAAATCAAACTTGCATTAGTTCATGAAGTGTTTGACAACTTATTTGAGCCAGGTAGGGAGGTGAAGACTGACTGGTAGGAGTTTTTGAGGGTGGTAAGAATCACAAGGCTACAGGCTACTATTGGTGACATGGCTCAAAATCGTTCTCAGTGCCTCAGATGCATTCACTCTTTATGTTCTACCGTACCCATCATACCGACATACTTTTTCATGTCACTTTTCTTTCTCCCGCACATTTCTTCTCGTTAAAACTCTTCCTAGTCTCTTCTTTCTACCATTGTGTACTACATGGAGTGTGACAAGTTGAACTGCCTGACCTCTATGCATAGTTCTATATTGTAACTCAGTCAATCAGTCTAATAAAAACCTACTCACTATGGTCTGCTTAATTAATGTTTTGTTGAATCTGATCGTAATAACTTTCCTGCATACTTTTGAGTTGTTTTTCCCTCTTTAGAAATAATGACATTATCCCATATGATCATGATGTGGATGTGGCCATCTTGGACACATATGAACCAATTATAAGAAAACTGGCAGACGAATCAAAACAGTCTCCTTCAGGAAATGTAAGTTATATATTTACAGTTTAAAGCATAATTGACTATTACATGTGTGCTGAAGGAAACTACACTAGAACTAGTATTACTTTTAGTGTGACTCAACTATACATGGAAGGTAGTTGTAACTACTGTGCCGCAGGTTTCAAAGCACCTTTCTTTGGGTCAAACAGGTAATGTCTGAAGATGTCACCAGTAGGGGATGAAAGCTTCGCAAATTAACTATCCAGCTCAGAGAACACAACCACATCAAAATCATCCACCTGAGCTACAAATCTTCTCTATCATAGGTAATGTGTCACGTCTTCATAGTGTTTAGCCTAACTAAAAGTCTATTGAAAAAGTTATTTATGGAGTAACAGGCTAAATCACTACTTTAATCACTAAATTTAGTGTTGTAGATTTGTTGCACATTAATCGGTCAAATCATTGTTTCAAAACAATGGTTACTGAACAAAGAATATTCTTTTCGATAACTTCATCATCAGGTTCTACAGTTATGCATACATAATAGTCAGTGAATTAGTGTTATGAACAACATCAGCTTCGTGCCCTTGAAATACAAACGCAATCTGATAAAGTGCTTGGTTCACAGAGCAAGAGCAATCCGCTCGGATGAATGTCTTGATGAGGAACTTAATAATATTAAACGATTGCTGAGTGAAAATGGTTATGCAGAAAAGTTTATTGATAAGAATATGAATCTAAAATCAATGCAGCTAAAGGTGCCAACAGTTCATAAAAAGGCCTTATTCTTACAAATGCAGTTCCTTGGGGACAACATCAGCCAGATACTAACAAAACGCCTTAGAAATGCAGTAAAAAGAGCACTCCCTGCTGCCGAATTACGCTGTGTCTCCAAAACCACTCCTCTTTTGCGTTCGGGAGTAAAAGATAAACTGCCTAATTTCGCCTCTTCCATGTGTATCTACCAATTTAACTGCTCCTGTGGATCCAGTTACATAGGCCGTTCAATTAGGCGTGTTTCTCGTCGAATTTCCAAACATCACGCTGAGTGGTTAAGTAAAGGACAAACAAAATCTATTCGCAGTGCTATTCTGTCTCATCTTGTGGGTACAGAACACAAGACTGATGTCAATCATGCTTTCAGGGTCATTTACCGCATACCTACGAATCTCAATTTCGCCTTAAGAGTTCGACTACTAAATATTGCTGAGGCTAGCTGTTGGGATCCATATTAAGAAGCCTAATTTGTGAGTCAAAAAAAACTTAGTTCAGACATTTTCTTTACCTTGGCCATCTAGGTTTGAATGATCCTCAATTTTTGTGGAATTTTCCCAATTTTAGTTGATATTCTATTTACTATTATATTATTATAATTTAAGCATCTTTAATGAACTGTTTTTCCATTGATCTTACTTTACAAATCGTTGTTATTTAAAAAACATTAATATTGTTATTGACTACTATTCCAGAATATTCTATTTATATAAGCATATATATATATATAATTGTAGTGTCAGAAGAGGAAATTATCGAAAAGGATATTCTTTGCTCAATTATTTTATGTTTTATAGATAGAAAATGGTTGAAAACTAACTATTCATCTTAGTTTTGGGGCTCTTCAGTACCGGAAGTGAAATTAATATCAGGTCCTTCCATTAGCTTGGTCGTGATAAGATGAACCATAACTTCTGACTTCTGTGATGTAACCCACTGAACTTATTTTTAACTCAGTATTATTCCTTTTTTATTAATTTGTAATTCAGAGATCATGAATCATTAACTAAGGCTCATTAGTGAAAAAAGGACACTCTTTTCAATAATTTCTTCATCAGGCGTTCTAGTTTTATGCCTGTAATAATTAAAGAATTATTAGCAACATTAATGTTGTTTTAAATCAAATTGGATCAATAGTAACGATAAATTACATCTCAGAAGCACCTGTAAGAGATAATAAGCATCAACAAAATAATAAACTGAATATCAGATAAATTAGAAGGAGCAAAACAGAATTCATGATTTGATAGGTCCCACAGCAGGCCAGGGTATCAATAGCGACTGAGTGGACCTGTTGCTTTTGTACACAGATCCCTGGTCGATTTAAGCAAATTTCAGTGGTCACTCCTGTTTGGAGATTTCAGTTTATGGAAGCCTTGTATAATTTATTCGTTACCAGATAGATGATAGAGGAAGACTCTCCAATGCAGCTAGCTTTGTGGTCTGTTTGGACGAGGTGATGTAATATCGAACTGATGATAACTTTTACTACAGTTTGGTTTGTAAGGGTTAGTTTTGTTTTTACGAGTTGACCACGGGTTGAATCACGAATCGGTAGAAGTTAGAATACATGAGCTGGCCATTGAGGAGTCGGATCCCAGTGACTGAATGGTATACGAGCTTGCCTTGTAATCGGAAGGTCTTGGGTTCGAACCCCAGTGGGTGCGTACTATCAATGATTCCCAAACTATGATGAGACAGTTGTCCAGTACACCCTGGTTTTCAATGGTCCTCTAACTGATATCCATCCGTGGTCAACTCGTAAAAAGCTTTTACTACGCTTTTATTTAGTCACTCTAGCAGCTGTTCCGCAGAGCGAAAAATTAAGTTCGTAGAACAACAGCTAACAAAACTAGCTGCGCAGCAACAACTGAACTGATAGATAGACTTAGAGTTGGCTGGCCTAGATACTTCATCTTTCAGTTTCGGAGTCACAACAGATTGTACGGGAGATATGAGCTGCAGCTTACCGTCATTAAACGTTATTTGAATTGATTTTCTCAACTTGTTGGTTATTACTTCACTAAATATATCACCTTTGAATTGTAGTCGTTTATATATATAATTAGGCATAGAGATACAGAAGAGTCCTTCTCTACCTTCTCGGCCATGTGCCCAGAGATGAACTTACAGGATAGGTGTTTTCAATTAACGTGTCGTATACAACCTTAAATTCATCTTCAATAACATCTTCGGAACAAATAGCTCTAATCCTATAGATGAGGGTATTTACCAAATTTCTTTTACAATAGAGAGGAATAAACCTGTGAAAATGTGTATATTGACCGGTCTAAGTACTTTTCTTATGCAAATTCCTGTTTATACTACCGTCTGGTCTTCTTGTTAGCAGGACGTCTAGAAGGCAATTTTACTTTTGGATTCTTCTTCACACACGTATTTGATATTTCAATGTACTTCATTGAATTGAGATATTACCACATTCATATCCAAATCATTTTCACAAAGGATGAATGTAGTATCAACCATATGTTTCAACTATAATCTGATATACAAACGACTACTGTATTTCATCGTTCTTGAGTAAAAAACATAGAATATTTTCACACTACTTATTACGTTTATCACTAGTAATAAAATAATAATCACATTTTTACTCGTTTGTATTTATAGTTTAGAATCGTAACACGTCCAGCTAATTACTGTGTATATGACAGAGGATCACGAACCAGTTGTTATGGTTATACAGTTCCAATAGCAATTGACGAATGTTCATTTTGTCTACCATTGGCAAGAATAGTTCTTAGTAAATTTACATTTTTAGACTTATTTTCAGTACGTGTTGAATTGCGTTTAAATACACACGGTGAATTAATTGATTTCGGTGTATTTGATGAAGGATATAACAGTGAAACTAATGGAATAAAATACTATCCTTTAAATTATATATTCCCTTTATCTAAATGTTTATTTATGGATTTATATGTTCCATGTCCTAGACAATCGGATTCACTTTTATCTCTATTCTATGGTAATAATTATATAAAACCAATCAAGTATTGTAATAAATTTTTATAATGATATTATACAATGTTATATGTTCAGTATTTCGTAGTTTGATGAACTTATTGATAGTAGAAGTGACAGTCTATGTGTATAAATAGGAAATAAACATATTCGCATTGACGTTGAGGCTTTTTACTTCAGCAATTATTATTACTATTATTCCCTAGAGGGTTCCGAATAGAACATAGGGATTCAGCAGCACATCTCTATTTCACTCTGTCCTGTGAAGTCTTTCTCAGCTGGCCCCCACATTTTCCATAGACTTTCATTTCCTTCTCACATGGTCTCTTCAACATAACATCCAACTGCTCGTTTACCATACGGGTTCCACTTGAGTATCCTCTCAGCCTATGAGGAATCCAGCTCCATTTTAGACCGCATATTTGTTGGGTAGTAGGTTCTTGGCTTGTTCATTTCCGGAATTCCTTGTTGATAATCCCTTCTGGTAGGTCTTTCCCTCTGTAGTATCAAGCCAGAGAAGTATGTGTTGACGTAATTTTAGAGTGGTCTTTGACTGGACACAAGTAACTAGTGTCCAATCACAGTATCCACTACAGTCATATTGGAGGTTAATCGCGAGCCCGAATGGCTCAGTGGTAACGTCTCTGACTGCAGCACTAGGTAACGCGGGTTCGAATCTCAGAAGGGACATGAGTTCCTTCAAGATTGCAGATACGCCTTTCTGACTGGTGAGTGCCAACAAGCACGAAACCTAGGTCGAAGGCTTCCTGCCAATCGCCTCCAACCATTTAATATTTACAGTGGTCTGTTAGAAATGCTTTCGGTGACGCACGCGCCAAGTGAACCATATAAAAGCAGTGAAAGGTGATCCTAAATTTCTGCAAACTATACTATGAGTGAAATTTTATGATCTCACTATTGTTAAATATGACACTTTGTACTCACTTTATACATCTGATATATTGAATTAGTTCAAGTGTATGACGATGAAATAAGGGTGTCCTTTGATGTCACAGCTTTATATACTTCAATTGGTTCAAAACTAGCAAAAGAAACTATGCAACAACTACTCTATAGCCATGAAAACACAAAAACGCAATGTTCAACTTGGATAGAACTCATAGAATTATGTCTTACAACATACTTCTATTTCAATACTCAAATATACGAACAGATAAAAGGATCACCGATGGGATCACCCATATCAGGATTAATAGCTGAAGCCGCTATGCAAAGATTAAAATTAATAGCCCTAATAATAATTAAACCAAAAATCTGGGTACGTTACTTTGATGATACATCTGTAGTAGTTAAAAGAAATGATTTGGAATATACCCACAAATTAATAAACAACATTTCTGAAAACATCAAATTCACGAGAGAAGAAGAAACAGATAACAAAATTCAATTCTTAGATGTCTTAATCAGGAGAACTAACACGGGAAATTTTAAAACAGAAATATGCAGAAAATGAATGCACAAACACCAAATACTCAACTACAGTAGTAATAACCCAATTACCTACAAAAGAAAATGTGTGTAAACATTGTTTAAAAGAGTTCCAACTCACTGTAGCACTCCAGTGTTGAAGAGAATGGAGGAGAAATACCTACTAACCGTCTGCAAAAAGAATGCGTATCCTCACAAAATCATCAAAAAGTGTTTAAACTTGAGGCAACAAGCCAACATCAAAGACCACAAGAAAATTCATTCTACCATATGCAAAAACTATCTCCGAAATAACAGCTAGAATAATAAGACCGTTTGAAATAGATATAGCACACACGCCAGCCAGCACAATCACTTCATTCGATATTGTGCAAACCAAAGATTCGACAGAAAAAGGAATAAAATCAATAAGGATGAAGTTGCTAGCCTCATACCCAACCTTTCCTCCTCACCAGCATTATTTCTGGCTTAGCGAGGTAAAGGAGTGCGTCGGCCGGGGATCGAACCCCGGACCATGTGCATGATCGGCGAGCGTCCTAACCGCTATGCCACCGACGCACGATAAAATCAATACCATTTACAAAACAAATTGTATGAACTGCAATAAATATTACATCAGTCAAAATGAGCGTCTTCTTCGAATCCGAATCCAAGAAGACAAATCGTCTGTAAAAAGGTATGATATATATTCTTTCGTATCAATGCATATGGATAATTATGGACACCAAATAGATGATTGGGATAATGTAGAAATTTTAAATACAGGAAACACCAAAAATGCTGCTAGCGAATTACTACAAGCCTGGTACTCAAATGAATAAGCAATTAACAAACAAATTATTATAGACCAAATTTATCAACCTATAAAAAGTAAATCACGTGACAAGAAAGTTCGAATTTTAAGTTAATAAGAAATGACCAGCAGAGACGTAAATTAACAACCAGTCACGACAGTGGTTGCCAGGAGATACAATTATATCATTCATGGAGAACTTAAGTAAGTTCATTTCATACTGAAACCTGCGCTGAAGATGTTGTCTCGAAGGGTGATGAAAGCTTCGCAACTGAATCAACCAGCTCAGAGAACACAACTAACTCAATATCATCCACCTGAGCTACAAATCTTCTCCATTACATCTGATATAATTCAACATTCCGTTTCAAACATTTTCGGTTATTCAAGTGTTGGTCTGTAGGGATTTGATTGATTGGTTACAGGATTTCATCATGAGCTGACATTGGTTAGAGGACCATTGAAAAACCTGGGAGTACTGAACAGCCAGCTGTTTCGTCCTAGTTTGAGATTCTTCATCAGTACGCACCCACCGGGGTTCGAAAATAAGCGTCTCTAGAGGACTTAATCTTTACTAACGGTAATCTTCAACAATGAAAATAAGTTACTGAAAAGTGATGGTTTAAACAGTCTTTTATTATCTATTATTTGCATGGGTATTTGAGGTAACTGATTCGAGTGGATTCCAAAACCGCTCATAAATAGTAAACTTTAGTTGTCGATACCACTGAACACTAAAGGGTTAGTGATGACAGGAACCAGCATAAAATTGTATATCATCCTTTCTCAAGCATTTTGTGATTTAATGTGTGTGTGTGTAATCAATCATTTCTCACAGCTGTGAAACGACTATATTGTTGTAAAGAAAATGTATAAATATGATGTGTTGTTTCCTAATGAAAATATAAGTATCTTACATTCACAGGCCAACCTTTGTCTTTTGATACTTGCATGGTTCAATGAAGCGGAAGGTACAATGGACGAATAGGCGTATTAGCGTACCAATCGAGTTCATTACCGTTCTAACAATGAGATGTGCAGATATAATAGGATCGTAAATAAACACTTCTGTCAGTACACTGAATGTCTTCATGGTTTTGACTTCGATAAACTAATTTTATAGCTCATATATTCTCCCTTTTTACATTTGATCAGTCTACGTGCTGCGCATGCCTAACCATCGCCTCCCCCGACGGGCATTACTAGCTGATATAGGTGCAGGTTGGAAAAGAGTAAGTGGTGGCCAAACAAAAACATGGCCTCATCAATCCATGAAATCCTTGACAGTTAAACTGAGTCAGGTAGGGAGATGCAGACTTCCGGGTTGGGGCCCACCCTCGGGACTCTAAGAATCAATGGCTGGAGACAATAGGTGACATGGCTAAAAATCGTTGTCAATGGCTTACGCAGATGTATTCAGTCTCTGTAATCTTTCATATTCCTTTCTACCATTACTCATTCTGTTTCACTCTTATACTTGCCAAATCTCTATTGATTCTCTTCACTCATTTTCTTGTCTACCTTTGTGTGCTATTTGGAACGTGGCAACTCGAACTGCTGCACTTCTGTGCCAAGTTCTATGTTGAATCCAGCCAGCCAGCCAGATCAGTCTACACGAAACTAAATATACTTAACCACAAGAAGGGTAAATGATTACCAATTCTCTACGCTTACAACTATGATACTTCATACAACTAGAAGAAGTTTGTGAATATTAGTTTTTATACGTTGAATCATTGACTCGATAGTAAAATAATCATCTTGTAGTAATGCAAGTTTAAACCCTGTGCAAGATTTTTACTAGTGAAATTTGACGAATTATAAGCAAAGCTTTATAAAGCTAATTCAACAACTATATATTATGATGCCGCATGGCAATTCATCCAAAACGGGAAGCTTAGCAAAGGATTTGACGCAAGGACAGGGATAAGAAAAGGCCACCAACTATCACTGATGTATTTCGCATTGTGGTGGACTGAATCATGCGGTGAACCGAGGGGAGAGAGAAGACAGGGATACGTTGGACTGATAAAAGACAATGGAAGATTTAAATTTCGACGATAATTTATGTCTAACATCGCACAAATTTGAAAACATAGAAACAAAAACCAGCAGGTTAGCAGAAGCGACTGTGAACATAGAGAAGACAGTGATGGTGAAGATACCTGATCACTAACAATAAGCATCAATCACCATCAACGGGAAGGATCTAGGGGAAGTCATTCTTTTTAATCACTTGAGTAGCATAACTTCAACTAAAGTTGGCACATTTAAAGATTTTAAAGCCTGTTAGGATTAGGAAAACAAGGTGGGAGTTTATTACTAGGAAATCACTTTCAACACCAGCGCCAAGTCAGTTCAGAGAATTGGTGATTGCATCAACAACAGCATTTTCAACAGCTTGCTCACTGCAGACTTTCGTCGACAGTCACCGTCTTCGCTAGATACTGAAGACCAGATTTTCAGGCAGAAAGGATAAGTAACAAGGTGTGGTGAGAGCTGTCTGCTAGCCAAAATTGGTAGACAGCAATTTACGTCAATGTTTACGTCCCGAATCGGGGTCATGAGAAAAAATAAGAACAAAGACTAACCTTGAGGAACTCACCAACCAATCACAGCAGACTTAACGTGTGCAAATACGATTCGCAGATATATGGCCTAACTTTCTAAGAAACGGTCACAATGAGATAACAGAATAACCTTCAGCAAGAAAACAACCAATCAGAAGACGTTGCTTCTCTGCTAACAATAACGCTAATAATAATATACATAAAAATCTATAAATACCTCTTGATTTTCTCAATAAACGATCTGTTGCCTGGCTCTTGTCTTCTGTCGTTACAAAGGAACTCTAGTAGACAGAGAAACAACCGACGGCCTATTGACCAACATTTTTGAAGAAGGAAATAGAGATGAGTTGGACATACGTTGTGGAGACAGTCAAGTGAGACCACTCATCAGGCCGTCAAGCTAAACCCAAATGGAAAAAGTCAAGTTGGGCGTCCGAAGGTGACATGAAAGTGATCATGTGGGGGGAAAATGAAAGCTTGTCAGCGGTTACAGAGCCGACTGAAAATGACAGAATAGAATCAAGTGCGATGTAGATGTGTTGCTGCTACAACCCTATGCTCCACTTAGAATCCACAGTAAGAATAGTAATATCAGAATATAAGAAAACCAGCTGTTCCATCTCTCAGATATACATGGTAAGAATAGAATGGCTACAATGTATATCAAAAAAAAATACTATTGCTGATAATGTCACCTAGCTTGAATAAGAAACAAGTAAACCAAAACAAACCCACGAAGTCACTTCAAATATATTCTATTATTTATGTACACACTATTTTGGGGGTAAGAGGAGAATGTACACAGGCATAGAAAGTACGTACACAGCCATGCAAATATTCACAAAGAAATGTTGTTCTTATTTTAAACACATAAACAAGATTATCAACAATTCAAGGCGTTAAAATCTGTTCAATTAATTTTGCATTAATTCTAATAAAAGTGCTTTCAGCAGACGTGCTTCATATGTGACAGTATTTTGTCCTGGATGAATTTTCACCGATTCGATTGGTTGATCAATGACAACTTTTATATCACGTCCATATACTATGAAAAATACAAAAATAATTTTTAAAAAAGGAAGAATCTCGTATTAAACAATTGCTGACTACCTAAGAGTTATGCATAACGGCGTGTTAACTTACTAAGTGACAGATGAATAACCGAACAAACTGATACATATTACTCATTAATACACTGTCTCATTGAAGAAGATCTGAGTTATTTAGGTTAACATTAAGTCTAATTAGAGGTTAATTAGTTAATTAGCATTTCGTCCTACTTGGGGCTCGTCAGCTGATTGATGGTATCGTTGAATATTTATAAAGTTCAGTCAACAAGAGATCAGCGATTTTTACTAACACAAACCAATAAATACAAAGAAAAAGAACTCCAGTCTGAAGTTTCTTTAGTGTTGGGACTAATTTCCTGGCGCAGGGTCACTAGTCCTACTCCCTCAATCTTCCCTCTTTTTCCAGGCTTAGAACTAGCTAGTACACTACACAAGAGTGATCGCATGGAGGATTTCATCATGAGCTGACATCAGTTAGAGAACCACTGGAAATCTGATGCTCACTAGCGACTGGCCCTAATCAGGCAGTTAACTCGGGGTCCTAGTGGGAAGCCGTGACAAGCAGGTTACAGCAGGTTGAAGATGAGGCAGTAACTCATCGAAGAAGACATTGCGAAATGGTCGTGCTATGTCGTGAATTGGCAGAAGTTAGAATTCAAGGACCATTGGATCGGGTCCCAGTGGCTCAATGGTCTACGAGCTCGCCTTGTAACCAGAAAGTCCTGGGTTCGAACCCTGGCGGTGGGTGCGTACTGCCGAATGAAGAGTTGAAAACCAGGACGAAACAGCTGTCCAGTACTCCTAGCTGGTTTTCCAGTGGTTTTCTAAGTGATGTCAGCTCATGATGAAATCCTCCATGCAATCAAACAAAATCCCTACAAAACCAATACCTGACAACAGTGATCGTGAAGCCAGTTAAAGAGGACTGCAGAGAAGAAAGTGCAGGGAAGATGTGTCGTTGAAACCCTATGCCCCACTTGGAACCCAAATGAAAAATAATAATGATAATAATTTATATAGTATGCTAAAAACTGAAGTAGCCTTCCTGTTATGAATGTAAGTTAAAACTGATACTAAATTATCACATATATAGTTACCTAAAGACATATATTCAGTTATTAACTTACATTCACAATGTTCTAGGAATTGTATACAATCCATTAATACAGCATCTCTTATAAGAATCATATGCTTGGACAAATTTTCAATTAAGGATAAGAAGCAGCGTTTAGCATAATACCTATATAGAATAAAATGAAATAGACACGCAAGAAAAGTGAGTATACAAAAGATTAAGAATTGTGAATAATTTAAAGAAGTGTGAGAAAATTTAAACCTCCTTCTTGCGAACTAACGATGCTTTTCTAAGTGATATTAATTCATAACAAAAAAAATTCATCCTGAAATCGACGAGCTCTTCTCAAAATCTCATTTAAATAGTTCTGTATCCAATACATTGATATTTGAGTCTTTAACAGTCAAGCGCAACAGACATCTTTATGGTTATTTAGGTTAATATTCTGCTACTTTTATTGATTTTTTACCTTTAATTGGTTGAAGACGCCTATTAAAAATTTAAAAGAATGATTCATAAAAAGTAATGTTCTTTTCGATGAATTTGTTATCAGCTATAGGGTGAGGACCTTAGGAGAAGACGGAGGTAACGAAGATAACCAGCCAACAGCAACAACAACCAGCACTAGTCACTATCAACGGAAGAGATTTGACAGAGGTTGCCTCCTTCACTTATCTGGGAAGCATTGTTTTAACCACAGGCAGTCGGAACGGATGAAAATTTCAACACCAGCCAGAATCGGAAAGGCAAGATACACCTTCATCAACCTGAAACCAGTTTGGAAATCTTCTGCACTCAGCCAGCCAGCCAGCATGAAGAACAAGATTCGGATTTTCAACACAAATGTGAAGTCAGTCAGTTCTTTTATACTGGTAAGAAACCTGCACTGCATGCCGCGAAAAGGATTTCCAACAGGTTACCGCAGACTTTTATCAACAGATCAAATGGCTGGTCGGCCGGCTAGAAAGAATTAGTAACAGGAATCTCTAGGTGACGAATCAACAAAGAGTCGATTGCTCAACAAATATGTAGAAGAAAGTGGAGATGGATCGGGCACACGTTGAGGAGGCCGTCAAATGAAATCGCGCGCAATGCAGGCCACTGCTCGAGTGGAATCCCAATGGGAAGCGACGAGTGCGTTGTACGAGGAGGAGATGAGAGATTATTGGCAGTCGTGGAGCTAGCCAGCTGAATAGGATGGCAGAAAATAGAAGAAAGTGTAGATGTGTTGTTGAAGCCATATGTTCCACTTGGAACTCAAGGAAATAATAATATATAGGGTAAGGTCTATGTGTTAAGAAGATGAGATGAAAAATGAACATATATGTGATACATTAAATGAATAAAGCTACTCTGAAAAGTTCATCAACTAAACACATGGTCAAGAGACTAGTTAAGAATGCTTATATATATATATATATATATATACCAGATGAAATAGTAACCAACCAGTTGAGGAAACTAACTTAAAGAATTTTTAATGCCATTAAGCTGCAGCTTGTATTCTCTACACAACTGGTTGTGATTCCGAAACGAAAAGATGAACTACTTAGGTTAAACACCTCTAAGTGTATCTATCATTCGAACTCTTCTCTAGGATCCTAATTTTCCGTCCTTAGGAATATCTACCATCAGTGTGGTTAAATAAATGTGTTGTTAAAACGATCAACAGTTCTGTATTGGATCACCTCGTCCAAACAGGTCAAAAGCTAACACCATTGAAGAGTTTTTTACGGTCATCTATCGGGCACCGAATAAATTATCAAAGACCTCTAAATATGGAACACTGCAAACAGAAGAGGCCATTGCAATTCGCCTAAAACAACCGGAGCTCTGTGTGCAAAAGAAACAGGTCCAGTCAGCCACTATTGATACCCTGACCTGTTGCCGAGCCGTTAAATTCGTAAATTCTGTGTTAATTCCCCTAATTTATCTGATATTCAGTTTACTGTTATATTGATGCATATCATCTTTCTCTCTTACTGATGCGTTTGAATTGTAATCTGTCGATATTACTGATTCAATGTAATTTAAAACAGCATTAGAGTTATTAATAACAGTGATTCTTTGATTATTATAGATGCATATTAATGTAGAATCTGATGACGAATTTTGGGAAGGAGTATTCTTTGTTAATTAATGTGCGTCGGAAGAATGCTCGCCAACCACGTAGGTGATTCGGCTTTCGATCCCCGGCCGACGGCGCACTCATTTACTTCGCTAAGCCAGTAATAAAACTAGTAAAGAAAGAAGGTTGGAGATGATGCTAACTAGAAACCCCATCCCGTAAAAGTAAAACTCCACTGCTACCGAAACTTCAAAGCCCTAGACTGAAGCCTCATGTTCCACTGGGAACATAAAGGAATAAAATAATTTTAAAAAATTGTTCATTAATCAATCTTTTAAATTTTTACCTTTAGCCTACTAGTACAAACTATATTGCCTTGAACCGATTTACTAGTGTACAAGGTTCTATGCATCTGTCTCTTTTAATAGATTAATAAAAAAGGACACTGTCACTAAATTTTTCGAATAATCAATGAGTAGACTGTATGGTATGTATAGGTCAAGCAGTCCATTTCAGTCCGTGCTGTGTGGTACAATATGGTCAACAATATTAAGATTAGGCGTATAGTGTTGAGTAAGGAAGATAGGACAATTAATTAGGTTATGAAACTACATCGATCGAGATGACTAGGACAAGGAATGCACATGCCGAACCACCTCCTTTCTCGTCGAACAATGTTAGCTGGCCTAAGATTAGGAGTAGTCAAACCGAAATCTGACACCAGTCTATAATTTATATGGCTATTGGTTTGAGACATTTAGGGAGATGAAGACTCCCTGGATGAATTCTTCGAAACTCTAGGAATCAATGACTGGAGACTGTTGGTGTGATATGGCTTCTAGTCATTCTCGCTGGTGCAGATGCATTCACTCTCTATGACCTTCAGTATCCACTAGACCTTAACGTTCCTAATGTTACTATTATTTCTCCCATGCATATCTACTCTCTTTGTCATCTCTTTTCTCTGCCTTTGGGAGGTACATATATTGTAGCAAGCTGAAATGGAGCCCTTTTTTGCAATGTTTCACCTTAAAATTCTGTCAGCAGTCAATCATATTTGAAAAACGCTGAAATAAATCACAAGGTAGACAAAAATTATTGTATGGCACAAAAGTACTTTGATTGGACACTAACTTGACTGATGAAATTCAGTCTGCACCCAACAAAGAACTAGACGAGTATCCAGAACAGTCCTACAGGAGGTCAGTCGCGAGCTCCAATAGCTCAGTGGTAACGTTTCTAACTGCAGCTGTGGATGACACGAGTCCTAACCTCAGGAAGAACATGAATTCCTTCAAGATTACAAATACGCCTTGCTGACTGGTGAGTGCCAATAAGCACAAAACCTAGGTCCAAGGCTTCCTTTAGACTGCCTACAACCATGTAATAACTGGCACAAAAGTGTTTATCGTTACAACAAATATACATAGAAATGAATATTGAAACAAGCAACATGAAAGATATGGAAGTGGTAGAGCATAGTGGTTGCCATTAATGAAAACCAAATTCTTCGAATGGTTTCAAGTCATGTTAACCAATAACTCCGATGACTGGTTTTTAACCTTTTAGGAACCCTTATCAAACAAACTATATTTGTCAGTGAAAGTCATACGGGGTGTTCATAACTTCACTATTTGATCCAGTGTCCTGGACTAATCGGATTCAGTTCATTGTTACCTTGTATAACTGACAAGTTTATCACTTCTCTTGCAGTATTGTGTGGCACTTGCTGGGAGGGTTACTTGTGAAGCTTTTATTGAAGTTCCAGATAACATCATAAAATAGCCACTTGGTCTTCTATATGAGTCACAGAAATTTAGACAGAGTCAAGCAGGGACGATTACTCGCCAGACTGTGTTCGTTGTTCAGTAGAAGATGAAGTCTTTCAGTATTACACACACATTCTTGTGTCTTCAGTGTGACCGTAAGTATGAAGCAGTAGGTTTCTAGTTATCATGCAGGTTAATTCGAGTTTTAATGTGTGGCTTTAAAATTTCAAATTGACAAGCAAAATTATCCCAAATTTTGATAACCTGAAGTAAGGCTCTGTTAAGTAGGGTAGTCACCATCAACCAAAGAAATTTCATATTAATCCTCAGGCATCGTCCAAGCATCTGTACTAGAAGGTGACATGTCAACAGACTCCTAGCCTTCTGGAGATGCGAATGGAAATCCTCATTTTTCTGTTTTAAACTTTATACTACTTATTAGTAGTAGGCGTTTCTATATTTCGGAGTTCTTCATTTAAGCAATGGTTCATTTAGGTTTACGCTTGTTGACACACTTTCTTAGAAGCACTTTTGGTGGGGGATAAGTCTAGACAAACAACTGAGGATTCAAGACTTATAATTTGTTATTCATTGCTGTTATTCACTGATGTACTAATTTAATTTGGACAAATCCTGTATTCTGGGTTTTACGCGCCGCGTAAGCGTTCCCTTCCTATGTTCAAAAAGGTGGTGGTTCGTCTCAAGTTTGATCACGAGCTTACATCAGTTAGAGGACAGTTGGAAACTAGGGAGTACTGGACATGTATTTCATCCTAGTCTGGGACTCTTCAGAGATACGCATCCAGCAGGCTCAGGACCCAGGACCTTCCATTGAACATCCAGCTACTGGGATCCAACCCAATGGCCCATGAATTCCAACCTCAACCAATTCGTGATTCGTTTTCCTTCAGCATTTTTCAAAAGGAATCTACGTTTGGTTTCCATCTATCAATCTTAATGTCACCTGTATTTTGAATCTTTTTGCTACCATAACAACAAAAGACGAAATGTATTGAAATAAGAACTTACCATGTATCTGGTCCAAGTTTTTTCTGATATGGTTCTAAACTTTTAATAACCCGACTAATACCGAAATCATAGTTGCCTTTAGCACAATACAATGTCCCGATGACTAAATTAACAATACACAGATGAAATACTTTTCTATCCGGGTCTTCATAACTGATAGCTTCTTCTTCTTTTTCAATTTTACGCATCAATTCTTCAGCATCTTCATTTTGACTAGTCATAATGTATGTAACGCATAGATTAGCGAGTATAACAGCGCTAATATTTAACAGATTATCAAATTGTCGTTTAACAATTGGTTCATAGAATCCACTAGCCTCTTTGTATTTATTTTCTTGCATAAATAGCACATGGGCGACATTCAACTTCCATACACGATGATCATTACAAAATTCAACAGATTTACGGAATATTTTCTCAACCTAAGTGGGAGAAAAAGAAAGAAATGCTAGATAAGAACAAAGTGTAACTATTTGAAATATACAAGTGTTGGTTTGCATGGCTTTGAACGATTTTCAGGTTTGACCACGAAGAGTCTTCAGTCAGAGGACCATTGAAAAACAGGGAGAACTTGAGTTCTGTTGGAAAGTCGTGACAGGAGAGTAAACCAATTTGGGTGTGAGGACAAGTTCTCACCAATGACATTGGCCTGCAGTTGCACTATCTATATCACGAATTGGGAGGAGTTAAAACTCAAGGGTCACCGAATTCTGTCCTAGTGACTGACAGGTCAACGAGCTCGACTTATAAGCTGAAGGTACTAGGTTCGATCGGTCTTGTATAAGGTTACGGATAACCATCAAGCCTTGTAACCAGGTCCTGGATTCGAACCCTAGCGATGGGTGCGTACTGCCGAAGAGTCCCAAACTAGGACGAGACAGCTGGCTGTCCAGTACTACCAGTGTCAGCTCATGATGAAATCCTGTAACCAATTTACTTTTAATTAGGATGGAAATGTTTTAAATCGTGGAAAATACCCATTGGAACATTAGATTGAGAAGAACAAGAAGTTCAGCAAAGATATCTTTTCGGCGATTTCATTCTCAAGAGCTGTACAATCGCATTTATATAGATAAGTTTACATGGATACAATTCTTATTTGTTTAATTCCACATAGTAACGAAGGTGATAATAATTTTCAACTTGATATGAAAGTTTGAAGGTACGAATATAGATTACAAGGGGCTTAGAGACAAGATTGCATAGGATTAGATAACAGTTACAACGTATGCAAAATTAATATTTGATAACTGGAGAAATAGTTTTAAAGGCGAATAAAAGGTGATAATTGTTTTCAACTTGATATGAATTACAAGAGGCTTAGAACGAATTACAGGTGTGAACAAAATGAGCATGGAAACAAATTGAGATCAAAATTTTCAACTTGAAATGTAAGTTAGGAGGTGTGAATATAGATTACAAGAGGCATAGAAACAAAAAATTACACAGGATTAGAATATAATTGTAAAATGGTTATTCTAAACGGATTACAAGTGTGATCAGGAGGAGCATGGGAACAAACTTAAAATAACTGATTTTATAACTGAAAAAATAGGATGAATTGAATGAAGGTAAAGAGAGAAAATTACACACACAGATAACAAAACAAAAAAAACTGAAGGATAAGGGAACATACCGAACTAGGTCCATGGTAGTTGTAAAGGCTGGACTAGTTTCTTTTGAACACATAGCTCCGGCTTTTCGATGCATATGGCGAGAGCTTCCGCAGTACAAAGAAGTCGGAAGCACACTGTCTTTGGTAGATTTTTGTTTACTTTGTAGATGACTCTAAATGATGAGTCGGTTGAGATTCTGTGACAGGTATTGACAAGATGTTCAGTTATTGCGCTTCTGATTGAACCAGTGCCTCCTCTTTGCAGCCATGCTGGATGATGTTCTCTAACACGTTTTGATAAGACCCGCATAGAACGACCTATGTACCTAGCTCCGCAAGAGCAGGTGAACTGATATATGCACATTGAAGTGGTCATATGCGGAAGTCTATCCTTCCCATTGCTCCGAAGTAGTGGGCGGCTAGAGAATATCACTCTTAGAGTTGCTGCCGGAAAAGTCTTCTTCAGGGATTTGGAGATTCTCCTTTTAAGGACATCTGCTGCTAGGTCTCCCCTGAATTCCAGATTCAAATAGAGTGTCTTCTTTTGCACTGAAGTGTATTCTTCTCTTTTTGGCCTTGGTTTCATGTTCTTCTCCACGAAACGCGGTGGGTATCCATTTTGAACCAGGATGCTTTTTAGGAATAGGAGCTCTTCTTCTAAACAGTCATCACTACAAATTCTTCTGGTGCGGTGGGCTAGCGAGATGATGAGAGCTCTTTTACGGCTGATAGGTATCCATATGTATTATTGATATAAGTATAAAACTTGGGCATTGTGGTAGAGTATAACTCCATAATAGATAGGATTTTATTTTAATAAATCACACAGTGTTGTACTGATGACGTTTCCAGCACAAACTACTGCTCATAACCATATCAAGTTGATATGATATGATTATGAGCAGTAGTTTGTGCTCGAAACGTCATCAGTTGATTTAACTGTACAACACTGTGTGATTTATTAAAATAAAATCCTATCCATTATGGAGTGATAGGTATCCAAGTGTAGAAGTTTGTCAGCTGGCCATTCCATGTTGGTTTTCTATGGATAGATCTTTTCAGAGCTCCGTCATCTCTTCTTTTCAATTCGACGTCCAAGAATGGAATCTTTGATTCATTTTCAACTTCCATTGTGAATTTAATTGAAGGATGACAGTTATTAAACTCCTGTAAGATACAATTTAAATCGGAATCATCTTGACAAACTATAAAAGTTTCATCGACGTATCTTTTGTACAGCAGCAATTTGTTCATTGTTGATTTTAGGATGCCGTTTTAGATTTAAATAATGAACTTCTTGTCGTTTTATGTCATTCTGGACAGTGCGTTTAGAATAAAATTATAATCAACAATGAGGCACTAAAGTTTAAAGCAATTAGTTCCCTTTATGAGTTTCGACAAGACAATAAGAAGACGTAATTTATCTGAAACGTGCAGGGTATTTGCACAACCTGTTTTGGACATTTTGATCACACACTTACTAGTCATATATATATTTGTAAAAAAGATCTAGAAAACATAAAGGATCACAAATGTTATCATTATAGGTCAAAATGTTTATGGGCTACAATCACAGATGAAAGATAGGAAAATGAGGTAAACAAGGGGTGAACCTTAATTTGGTGAATGGTAGTTAGCAGTAGAATCCATGATGCGCGTTTCGTCGTATTTGGGACTCGTCAGTGGATGTATCTGCATTCCCATGGAGTGATGCTGTTCCCACTGAGGTTCGGGCCCAGTACCCATCGTTTCAAATGCCAAAGCGATATCCACTAGACAAAGTAAGCCACGAAAGCCACCTCTTGTGCAACAGCTGTCAGTAATTATTTATTTTTGATTCATTTTTGATTTTCCCGGCTTCTGTTGACATGTCGTTTTTAGGTTACTTTGCATTTCTTTCTGATTTTATTGGACTGAAATGCTCGGTTCTAAAAACAAATAATAACTCTCATTGCACGAGAGGTGGCTCTCGCGGTTTAGATGGTCTAGTGGATAACGCCTTGGTATTTGAAACGATGGGTACTGCGTTTGAGCCTCAGTGAAAACACAATCACTCCCTGGAAATGCACTTACATCCGGTTGACAAATCTTAAATGGGACGAAATGCACATCATGAATTCTACTGCCAGTCACCATCCACCAAACTACTTCAGGAATAAAAGCCGTTGTTAAGCTCTTTAGTATGTATAGAAATAATTACTGAAGTATTCCAGAATTATGAATGAATGTTCAGTTTATTCTAACCTTGTTTTTTTAAAGTATATAAATATATATTAGTAAGAAATGCATTTACTTTTCGTCCTAGTTCGGGAGTCTTCAGTAGTCCACAACCACGACCCCTCCAGTGATCAAACCCAGGACTTTCAGGTTACGAGACCAAGCTCGTTGACTATTCAGACACTTGGGCTGGAATTCGATGGCACGTGAGTTCTTACTTTCTGAATTTGTGATACAGAGCTATCCTCAACCAATACCTTCGATGAGAATATATATATAAATGATGAGCATGAAGTCATTGACTGACCTGTTGATAATTCTCCATGTCCCAATAAATTTTAGCTTGTTGCATTAACACAGGAATATAATTTTCTAAGGCTACATCATATTCGTGTACAGCACGTTTCACTGCTTCATCGTCTTGTGCTTGTCTGGCTTCTTGAACTGTCTTTGTCAATCGTCTCAACTGTTCTGTATGCTTAGCAGCCATTTGATCAAGACGACTGAAGGAAAAAAAATGATGATTATAATAATCGGTGAATAGAGTGGGAAAGAAATTACAAGAAGAATAAATATAATTGTGTACAATATTTACTTCCATATTCTGTCTGTAATTACTTAAATGCTGGTGGGTAAAACTTCTGTGGAATTTCGTTTCAAGCCTGCTACGATGACGAATATAAATTATGAAACAATGTGACTAAAACTGTTTAGACAAAAAGAAACGAAAGAGGAAGAGAAACATGTGAAGGAGTGAACAGCATTTTATCCAAGGATGGTCAAAGTAGGACCAACTTTTTGTCACGTGTTCTCTTTGAATACAAATTTCTGGCTTGGTCATCCTTATTTCCACTGTTTTAATTGTATGAAAAAAGACTACATACCTAAGGCATTGTCAAGTGCAGTCCGTCTTCTGTGGAAATAGCATAGACCAACCCACTTCTATGTATTCATAAAAAGAACATGTTCAGATGTTGTACCTACCTTAGGTATCCTTAGACTAAATACTATCCCTGCTTCACTTTACATATTTCTCTAATTTCGCCTTTTCCTTCGTTTTCCTTTCTTTTCTTCCGAACAATTTCATTCTCGACGTTTTATAATCCACATTCTTCTTTTACTAACAGGGTATTTTAATTTATTACTAGTGATAATGTGGTGAGAGCTGTCTGCCAGCCAAAATTGGTAGGCAGCAATTTACGTCAATGTTTACGTCCCAAATCTTGATCATGAGGAAAAACAAGAACACAGACTAACCTTGAGGAAGTGAAATGGTGGGTGGTGACTATCAGTGGAATCCAGGATAATGCGCATTTCGTCCTATTTGGGAATCGTCATCTGGATGTGCCTGCATTCCGCAGTGAGTGATGATGTTCCCACCGAGGCTCGAACCCGGTGCTCATAGTTTCAAACGCCAAAGCGTTATCCACTAAAACACTTGGGCCAGGAGAGCCACCTCTTTTGCAACGGGTCATATTGATTATTTAATTTAATTTTAGATTTTCCCGTTGATTGATTGGACCGAGCACTTTGGTAATGTACATAAAAATCTATAAATATCTGTTGATTTTCTCAATAAACGATTTGTTGCCTGGTCCTTGTGTTCTGTCGTTACAATACCATTTCCCTTTATATGACTCCGCTTCATTCACCCAACAAATTGATCATTTCATCGTAAACTATTTATTGTAGTCTCATTATCTACTGTTTCGGATATACTGTCTTTGTACTAGCCATTCACCAAACACATTTTACAATCTTATAACAAGTTATCAGTTTTCTTTCCCGATACTATACGAATCTGTTGTGAAAATTATCACCATTATCATCCAATTCACACTATTTTGTAATTTCGTTCAACTCACCACCTTTGTAGGACAAATACTCTTTTGTTCTGTTACCTTACAACTTGAGACTCATCTGGGTTTTTTCAAATCCATGATCATATTCCACGTTAAATGTATCCTCTGCATACCTGTTTGTTAATATACTGATAATAACTATTGTTTTGTAAGTATAAGAACCTGAAGAGGATTTATTGAAATATATATATATCTTTCCCGTTATGACCGACTTCTAATTTGTGATATGGAAAAATATGTTATTTTGGTGGACTGTGGCTAGCAGTGGAATCCAGGATGTGCATTTCGTCCCATTTGACATTCGTCAGCTTGGTGTAACTGTCTCCTCAGTAAGTGATAGTGTTCCCATGTTGACAGAGACCAAACATTTCAGTCTAATATAAGCAGTCAACTGGAAATAAAAAATTGGTAATAATCACCCTCCGGGGTCCGAACACAGGACTTTCCAGTTACAAGGCAACCTCGTAGACCATTCAGCCACCGGAACCCGAATCACTAGCCCATAAACTCAAATTCCTACCGATTCGTGATTTTAGAGTGCCACCAGCTAGTGTTATCGGCAGGTATTTGTCCTAGCTCCCTACTGGATAGACCCCACTGGTCTCAACTTCTCACTAGAACTCCAGGCAGTTTCGTCCTGTAGCCAGTCATTAGCGAGCATCAGATGAATTTTCAGGAGTCATTTTGTAGTAATTTGATTTGTTAAAAGCTTGAGCTCAGACTGATATCAGTTAAAGAACAAATTGAAAACCAGCAGATGGTACTGGACATCTGTTTCGTCCTAGTTTGAGGCTCATCGGCGGTACGTACCCATCAGTACTCCCCGAATTATAATGGTTCTCTAACTGATATCAATGTGCTGTCAAACTTGAAACAAATCAAATTACTACAAACTGACTCTTGAAAATAATTCGAAATATTTTTTTGATGTCAACAACAAGAGTCAGAGTTATGAGGACAGGCTACTGGGAATTGTGTGTTCTGCCAACTTTATTTTTATTTTTAGGAGTAAAATTCTTAACAGCACATAGCTGTATAAAAGTAGGACTTCAGTCCTCCGGCATACTAAACTGACTGGTCTCATATGGAACATAATGATATGACATTGAATAATGTGCGTCGATAACAGCGGTTAGGACGCTCATCGACCATGCACATTGTCCCGGATTCGATTCCCGGCCGACCCACACCTGATCTCAATGGTTGGCCTGTTAAATTTGGGCTACTGATATCACATGCTAAAAATTCCATACTTGTACCAAAATACTGTGTGGAATCAAGCTAAAATAAAAATATTAGATGAAGAAGATCAGAGGAATTCTCAGCCTTTCAAACATTTGGAAAACAATTAGTATACATGGAAATTTCCATCGGAAGAGTTAAGGCTTTTAACGCGCCATTATCAAATTAATTTAACTGAGTGATCGTGATAATTAGATGAGCGATAAAACCTAAGAAGTCGAACGACAAGGTATATTTCAAATCACATCCGTTTGCGTTTACGCTGTTGAGATTGTTAGCTTACAAAACAATCTCTGAATAACATTTATTTACAAACTTACTTCACTGTGAGAGGTGAAAAGATTTCCAGTATATTGATGGGATGTTGGACAGAAAAATCATTGGATCAATTTAACTGGACTACAGCTGCTTACCATTCAGTCATCATCTGAATGAAATATAAACAATGATCCTCCTACTGTAAATGGGATTACTAACTCTCTATCTTATATAAAATGAGGCAAAGTAGCACATCTTGACAGTTTAAATCCAGAAGTGTATAAGAATGACCTTGGTGAACTAATGACCTGATTAAGACAGTATCTAGTATACGGGATTCTGAGATATCCCCATCAGACTTGTGTACACCGTCATCCATCCCAGTCTAACAGAAAGGAAACAAAGGAGCGGTAGTCAATACTAGTCATATATCTTAACTTGAAGGCGGTTTTGACCCCGTCAATCTAGTGCTCCTGTAGTAATATCTGGCTGTGAATATGCAGCTTATATATATATATATATATATATATATATGTAGTGTTGACAAAATACATCGTCTCCTACACAACTTGAGGGGAAAACTCAGAATTTTTGACACACAATTCACTCCCATCAAATGTAACCTGACAGCACAAGGCTGACCTACACCCACTCATAGTCTAAGAATATGGAGTGAACTGGATAAATATTATATTAGCCCCAATGGACAGGTCACTAACAAACCTCAGAACAGATGCGAATGACTCATCTGGCACTTGTAAACCTGAATTCATTTCAATGAAGCGCCAAATGAAGTTGAAATGAAAAGTCAGTGTGATATCTACCTAAAGGTCACTTGTTCAAACCAAATTTTCATTCAAACTGTAACCATTACATCACCAAATGAAAGAAATTTTCATGAATCTAGGTATATATCAAACCAACCTAGTGCCTATAATCACTGAGCCTCTACGCTTGACGCTTATGGACAACAAACTGTATTAGAAGCACCATGAAGTAAAAACTAATGTACCGCCGTAAAGAATGAATAAGCATCATCAGATGCAGTGACCACTGGCTTTGCACATACTCAAATGGTGTATATATTACAAAATAAACTGACTCCATTATGGATAAGATTTTATTTTGATAAAGTCACACAGTGTTATACAGTAATATTAACTGATGACACGTTTCGAGCACAAACTATTGCCACTCATAATCATATCAAGTCACTACTCACACAACTTTTTTCCTTCATTTATATACATATGTGGAATCGATTAGATATTGGAATAAAATTCAATATGAGATAATGTACATTCAGAGATAATAATATGAGTGTTATTGATCAAATACAATCAGATGGGAAATAAGACGAGTGTTTTTTATAGTCATAATAAGTTAATTGTTAGAATGTTGCGATGTGTTTGAATTGAAATAGAATTTTAAGATTATTTATTATCCTCTTCTGATTTGACCGGTGGTAATAATATCTTCCATATTTCTGGTATTTGCATTGAATCACTTCTGTTGCATGTATTGGGTGTAGACTCAATGAACAAGGATTCCGTAATCAACCTCTCTCCACCTACCTATATTACTTTTTAGAATTTTAACCCTATCCCACCCTATTGTGTGGTTGTTTGTTAATGCGTGAAGTGCAATTGCTGAGCTTTTTTCTAAATTACTCATGTTCGTAGAGTCAATCATTCTAACCTTAGCTAAATTCTTATGTTCTGAGATCCTGCGTATGATTCTTAATAAAGCAGGAATTAGGGCGACATTCAAACCTACAAACTCACTCAGAGACAAGCTTTGTAGGTTGAAAGACCCGGTGGACCCAATTAAACAAAGTAAAATAATTTACAAAATACCCTGCAATGACTGTAAAGTCAACTACATAGGTCAGAATAGTAGGTTAGGGATAGTCAGATTATCAAAAATAAACTGACATATCAAATAGTATGAACACTGCTCATCATACATCATATCTTACTTATAGGCATCTTGGGGTGCTGTTTGTCGAAGAATTACAGCTTCAATGAAATCAAATAAATCCGGTGACAGATATTCATAGGCTAATGATGCATTCTCAGCCATTACATCAGCAGCTAAATCAAAATATTCATATTTTATATACAGTAGCAAAAGATTTGCAAATGTTTCAGATGGAAAAGTTTCTTGTTGCAGTAAAAATTGTAATTTTTGAAAACCTGCTGCCGGTTCTGTTTCCATATTCATTAAGGCTTGATTATGAAGTGTTATATGATCGAGTTCTTCTTCAGATCTTGGCGGCATATCAGTTAAAGCTTCGGATGCAGCTACATAATTTTTTAAATTGAATTCAATAGCTGCCTAAAATTTAAATTAGCAAAAAAAATGAGATGAATCAAGGTTACTTGTGTAACGAACAGAAAACTAGTACCGATATGTGAGATGATAGTGCAATACAATTTTGAAGTCTGACACAGTAGATGAAGTTGAACAGATACAATAAAATAATGCTAAGCTCTTCCAGGACATTACTCTGAAACCAGTGTAGAAATCTGCTGCAATCAGCATAAATAACAAGATTCGGACTCTCAGCCCTAATTTCATTTCAGAGCCTCTGTGAGATTCAGAGACTCGGCCCGTCAGGAAGAGAATTTCTAACAGACTTTCATCAACAGCTACCACTTTCGCTTGCTCCATACTGAAGATCAGATGACCGGAAAGGATTGGCAGCGAACCAACCAAGAGTCTATGGCGTAATAAGTATCCGGGAGACAGTGGAAATAGGTTCGACATACGTTGAGGAGACCGTTGAGAGATATCGCGCGCCAGACAGACCTCGGAGTGGAATCTGAAAGGGAAACGACTACTTGAGCTTAGCCGGATGGTTACACAGAGGAGATCGTGTGCGGAGGAGATGAGAGTGAAATGGAGATATGCTGCTGAAGCCTCATGTTCCACCCGGAAACGAAGGGAATAATAGTGATAATATAAAGCTCTCTAAGAAACTGTTTTATTTCACTATATCACACAAGATCAAAATGTATAAATAAGAACTACTGGAGAGTGGAACTAATCCTAGCCCACAGACATTAAAACTATGCATAATAGCATAAAAACGCTATGGAAAATAGCACATATTTAAGTTATCCTACTACCTAAAGGCATATCCAACAAATATTAACAAAAGAAGGCAGAATCATAAAGCATGAAATAGTTACTTTCCTATTACTGTGGAACTCTTCAGAAGCGTGCATCTTCTACTCCAAGTACAGCCAGTAAAAAGACCGTCTGTTGACTATGCCAGTCAACCACCTCTTGGGGACTTAGTAGCCTACGAACAGAATTTTTTGTCAGTCAACGATATACAGAGTCAGTCAACTAATTTAGATACGTGAAGAGATATTCAGTGACGAAACTGGGTAAAGATGGAGCCATATCATCAATCATTCACTCCTGTGTGTGTTTTTTTCACTAGCTCCTCGAATAAGAAAGAATGAAAAAGAATGTTTAGAAACCAATGAATAAGATATCTATTTTTCATGGGTTAAGCAGGACGACCTCTAATACTTCACCTAGTTCTGTCAGGCGATTGCAGTGAGAATGAATGGCTTTTAAAGATTGTAAAATTTATTTACAGATAGTGTGGAATAAATTTGGAGACATTATTTACTCCATATGCAGCACATAATTATGGGTGTATTTTTCATGCCCCACTTGTTTAGCAAAAACATTTAACGCACTCAAAAAGTCTAGAAATACACTTCTCAAACCTCCACACTAGTGTCTTTTCTGTCCATTATTACTCACAATGGTGTAGTATGAGATTCATTTCTATAACCGTGTGGAGAAAGCTGTCTGCGAACAAGCCAAAATTGTAAACAACAATTTGCGTCAGTGTTACATCCGGAATCAGGGTCATGAGAAAAACGATAACAAATCCTAACCTTGAGGAACTCACCAACCAATCATGGCGAACTTAACGTGTGCAGATAGGATTTACAGATATATGGCTTAACTTTCTGAGAAATGGTCACAAGCAGTACAAAATAACGTTCAGCAAAAAAACAACCAATCAGAAGAGGCTGCTTCTCCGCTAACAATAACGCTAATAATAATGTACATAAAAATTTATAAATACCTCTTGATTTTCTCAATGAAGGATATGTTGCCTGGCTCTTGTATTCTGTCATTACAACCGAAGTCCAACGATGGCATTGCTTAGTGTCAGCGGAACTAGTCTAGTGGAAAATGAAGAATCTTGTAATAAAGTTAAATTTCTTATTTTTTATTTTACTCCTTTGCGTTCTAAGTGGAACGAAGGGCTTCAAGATTGAGCTATAAAGTTTCAGTAGTAGTGGTGTCATTTTTAAGATCTGGGATTGCTAGTCTCACGCCCAGCCTTTCCTCTTTACCAGTCTTTATGCTGGCTTAGAAAGGTTTAAGAATGTGTCAGCAAGGGATCGAACCCTGAACCACATGAGTGGTTAAATGAGCACAAATGACTAAAGATATTTGAAACTTATTCACTGGACAACTAAATTATGTTATTTATCAGTTATGACTTAAGTATAACTTGTTAATCAAGTCTGTCAACTACGCATTAATATTTAAGTGAAACAAACAGATGAAGTCAGTAAATATACATAAACAAATAATGCATAAAAGCAGATAATCACCATCTAAATTTACCTTTAAGTTAAACGTTTCAATCAAAGCTGTTTCATGTAAAGCTAGAGTATTTCCAACACTACGTACTTCCAAGCCTTCTGTAGTCATACCGACACCGAGTTCCGGGTGATCTCTAATGCCACGTTCAATAACATCAGCAATATATTTTAAAGACTGAGCATACTGTTTCATCTGATAATGACACAGTGCCATGTTATAAGCAAGTGTTGGTTGGAAACCAACAGTCTTTTAAAAAAGAAAACAAGAAATACATGTGGATGAAAATAGTTGTTTTGTTTAAAATTCGAGTGAATGTTTTAAAAATATGCGCTTAGTGTTTAAATATCGAATGGAATTTGTATTTAAATAAATACCATTTCCATGCCAACTATATTTTAGTCATTGTAAACATTCACCCATGTCAATGAGAAATAACATCAAAATGTAATATTTACGTGACGCCCATTACTAACTGACTGGTAGAAGAAGCTGCAAGGATAGGACTTCAAGTAAACATAGAAATGACGGAGACGATCAAAATAATCAGCCATCAACAACACCAACAAGCACCAATCATTATCAACAGATGTAATCTGAAAGAGACTACTTCCTTCACTTACCTAGTTATGCAGCATCGTTTCAACTGCAGGCGGAACGGATGAAGATGTCAAAGCCAGAATCGGAAAGGCAAGACTGACCTTAATCGCTGTGAAATCGGTTTGGAAATCTCCTACACTCAAATCAGCATAAAGAACGAAATTCGGATTTTCAACACCAATGTTAAGTTATTCACTTCTTCTATATGGGTCAGAAACCTGGAGCGTCACACAATGCAATCCTAATAGGCTACTGCAGACTTTTATCAACATTTTCTTCCATAATGAATATCAAGTGGCCAGCTAGAAAGGATTAGCAACAAGGAACTCTGGGAACGAACCAGACAAGAACCTACTGCTCAATAAATATTCCCAAGGAAATAGAAATGGATCGGATATAGGCTTATGAGACCAATGAGTGAAATCGCGTGCCAGTTGGCCCCTTCAGTAGAAGTCGAATAGAAAACGAAGAGCTGGGCATGGCTCTGAGGATGAGATGAAGGGGACCACGTGAGGAAGAGTAGATAAAAGCTTGTGGGCAGTCGTGATGCCTGCTGAAGAGGACTTCAGAGAAGAGGACAAAAAGAAGGTCTGCTGTTGAAGCCCTATGTTCTACTTGGAACCCAAGAGAATAATAACAAGTGTCTGGAGTTCTCGCGAGGTCTACTAGACCAAGTGTGAGGGCAGATACTCGCCAATGACACTGACTGGCAGTGGTGCTATAAATCACAAACTGGAAAAATTTAAAGTTCATATGCCATTAAATTATGTTACAGCGGCTGATCGACTACCGGTCTCGTCTCATAACCTGAAGGTCCTGTGTTCAATTTTACGTAGGATCATGGATTTGTACTGATGAAGAATCCAAAAATAGGATGAGACAACTATCCAGTGCTTGCTGGTTGTCAGTGGTTCTCCAGTGATCTAAACTGAAATCAGTTAAGGCCCTGCGAAACCAGCACCTGGAAATGTCCTCAGATTATTTATTGAGCAGTAATATATTCCGAGTAAAAGCACTGAGTCTGATATATGAGCGATTTATGATTTCTCTAAAACAAACTCATAAATGAGATATATTAATGGTTGTGAAACCCGATCACTTAACAGACTAACTTTCTTCAGGAGATATATTAATGCTTTATTTGAAGTTGTCTCACTTCGAAAGAGTAAAAATTGAGTGGAGATTTTTAAAAAGTGTTGTGAAAAGTGTCAATAAAGTACTGACAGCATTTATATTTTCAACTGTTGTAGTGAGTAAACACAATCGTGTCACTGTTATGGATTTCGACTCATATCAGGAAAAATCATAAATAACTTGTTTTTAAAGTCCTGAAGACCATCCCCCCAGTAGTCAATACTTCCTAAAATGCGCCATCCTAAAGTGACAGAGTTTGTGGATTAGTTCATGTCCTTTACATAACCCAGTCTTAATTTAAACTAGAGTGTTTGCTGAGAAAAATACTGAGATGGACATGAATAATATGTCTCTACTATCTCGAGAATGGAGATTCAAACTCATCGACTAATTAGAATCTTCGTAATAACTATTCGAATAGTTAAAAAAATCATCGCAACTGCATACACAGTAATTTTTCATAAATTTTCTTTAAAGACTATATGTAGAATGACAACGACTGGTCAACATTCAAATACTGGGGGATAAACGACAACAACAAATTGTTAGAGATCAGTATAAGCCTGAAAAAAAATGTTCAAAGTAACTTACTTGCATTGCTTGTTGAAACTGTTGGCATGCCTTTTGATAATCACCTTCGCGATATAATAAGCAGCCAAGATTGATAATTGAATCAGGGTCACCAGAAAAGGTTTGTTCAACTAAACTGCGCGAACCAGCTAAATCTCCTTCACCATAGCGTATAGCAGCTTGTAATTTGATCAATTTTTCCTTGAAATCTGGATTTTCAATTTGAGCTGCAGCCTGTCAGCAGTTCAAAAAAGGGGAAAAAATATTTATTAGATATTTACGAGATGAAAGTGATTTGAATGATGTTGAGTAAGACGTAAATAACCACCGTTTGATCATGACAATTTCAGCATAGAGATTGTTTTCGCACATCGGACAAACCCGTAGGGGCTGTAGTCAGTTAAAATTTAATTTTATAGCTTCCTTTAAGAAGGTTAGCTTTGGTGTTCTTTATTTTTTAAAAACAGTGAAATGCGGTAATCCTATTAAAAACTAAGAGACTGGAGATGTCATATAACAATGGCATGAGGAAAAAAGACAGTTTGTGTAAATGCTCACGTAATCGCACATGCAGGTAAGAAGATCTCATAGCTTTAACTGAAATAAGTTTGTTACCACATCTTTAGTGCTATTAGTAATGTCTTCCCTGAAGAAAATCAGTACACTGTAAATGACGGAAAAGTTATCTAGATAAAACAATTTATTATGTGGATATATGATATATGAGATAAGAATTTATAAAGCGAGAGAAAATAATGAGATACTTGAATGAATAAAACGAAAACTAACCAAATAAGCTACTCTAGAGAATTTTGAAGATAGACAAAACGAGTGATAAGTTAGCGTTTATTATGTTTATATTTCGTGTATACCAGTGAATATTTAGTACTCAATCAATCAGCGTTATTATAACATCTGCTTGTTTCCAAATGAAAACTAAGCATTTTAGCACTTGACTTCCCCTAGCACTGCGATCATGCCCCTAGTAATTGCCAGATTAAATCTACACCTAGACCTGCACTCCTCGGGCACCAAGAATTGACAGTCATTGTTAGCTATCATCTTACATACTCAATATCCCATTGCGGTGTGATTTAAAACAATGATTTCTCCCTGAGGTGGGTCTACAGATTGAGGACTGAAATTATTTATAGAACTTATGAGCACTTTTAAAAGAAATGATTTTAAATGTTATTCAGTGAAATAATGCTGAGCAAAAGGTGGATTATACCAGGATAACGTATTTTAAATAATGATTTACTGTCCAAGTTGTCTTAACTGATGCTTCCTTCTAAAAACTGACATTCGAGAGAAAATTCCGGGAGAGTTCTTCAATCACAGTAGTGTCAAAAACATCCGAAAATTCATCCATAAAATAAAGACATAAGCCCTTGAAACCCCCATCAGATTACATAATGAAAGCATTATCTGTAGATAACTTGATCAAATGTCCACATCCTTAAATAGTAGGAGTTATATAAGTTGGATAGAGAGCTACTTATAAACAAAAGGGTTCAGAGCATGAAACATGACTCAAATACATAAACCAAACATTGATTTAAATGTCATATTTTGTTAATGGAAAGACTGCTTATTATTCACAACGAAGTTTAACTATAGCAGCCACTCCATGACATGACATCTGACAACTAATGAGTTTCAGGTAGTATCAACAAATCAGAGCATGTCTTATGTTCCGGATTTGCTTAGCGAGTCTCAAGAAGATAGAGCATTTGATTCAGCATCAAATTATAAGGACAGAAAGCTCTTATTGTCTATGTTAATCCTTGCGATATATATCTCTGCAGAGATCTAGTTTCTCTTTGAAAGCGCTCAGTACTATGTGAATCATAGACTAATTGAGGCAAATAAAGCATACACACGCGTGATAAGATTGAAAAGATAACCGGTTTTGGGGGGGTGGATTGCGACTTCGGGTAGACTGAAGAGCATAATCAAGAATATAAGCGGATTTCATAACACCATCATCTATGGTCACCTTTCTTACAAATTTTGTAATTTCTACTGCTCCTTAACCCTGATAAGCTGCTCGGTGAGTTTCAAGTTCAATCAAAGTAGTTGCTACAGTTTAACTCTGACCTACTCACATGCATTTAATTGTTGAGTATCGGCTAAAATAAATAGAAACATACTTTTAATGCGGCTTGGAATAAATCTGCCTTATACAGTGACTGGGCAAAATAAAATTTATATTCATCCACTTCAGGAAATAGCTGAGTTAACTGCTCATAACAGTCAGAAGCACTAACGAAATCCTGTAACTGATAAAAACAATAACCAAGAAGAGAAAGTGCAGCTCGGCTGCTTGGATGACTCAGTAGTTGTTGGTTAAGGATATTTATGGCCTCCTTATACTTCTCATCTTTTATCGCTCCATATATGGTTGATGTGAATTCCCCTTCTCTAATTTGCATAATTTCGTAAGCGTCAAAGAGGTGTTACTAAGGTTCACAGGTTTAAACAAAACCAAGTGTTTCAATATTCAATATCGTTTTCACGAGCTGGCGTAAACCAGTTTGATTTCTTTGTGCTCGCTTCTTGGTTGTGAGGCAAATGTTCCTGGGCTTCTGTAAACTTCTGCGTAGTTCGTCCCTCCAGTAGACTGTTTTGGCTTTGGTTGACTCTACACTGACGGGTGATGAGATTATTTATGCGTTGTTTGTAGTATACGGTGTGTTAAGACAGTGTTGCTACTGTGAATGAAGCTGATCCTTTCACTAGTTATTCGTCCGGTGTCAATGACAAAAGAAAAGAGATAATAATAACAGATATAACTAGAGTAGGCTATGCAGAATAAAAGACAGAAAAAGAAATAAAGAAAACATAAAAACAGACAGCTAACGAAATTCGAAATTGATATATATGTGTATATAATATCAATAATAATAGTAAGGGACGCAATATTTGGAATAGTCAGGAGAGTTAAACAAGAGAGAATGTGAAAAAGTAAAAAAGTGTGTCGGTGGCACAGTGGTTAGGACTCTCGCCGACCATGCACATGGTCCGGGGTTCGATCCCCTGCCGACGCACACCTGATATCTGTGGTCGGCCTGCAAAATTTGGGCTACCGATATCACATGCTGAAAATTCCATACCTGTACCAAAAAATACGGTGTGGAATCAAGCTGTAATCAAAAATAAAAATAAAAAATATAAAACAATTTAGTTGTCCACCCATTAAAAGTATATGAGATCTTAAGCGGACAGGCCGTTTTGACAAAGTTCTTGTGTCACTTAGTGACTGCCTAGCCTTCGTTTCCACAGACGGTGTTGTAGCTACATCTGCCAAGAGTGTAACCCCACTCGTCAAGCAGTGATCTTAAACATAGAGCAAAGCGCACGTTAGTAGGGTGATCACACAAGTGCCGAGTGCTAGTAAGAACGAAGACTCAAGGTCAAGGACTATATTTACAGCCAATCATAATACAATTAGATGAGAGGGAGGGGCATTCCTATTGGTCATCCGTTGCCTCGTCTTGGGCGACCAATCCCTCCACGCTTTGTAGACAACCTGAAATTAGACAAGTATAGTTTGAACATTAGAAAACCGCCGAACTTACCATGCCTTACAGTAGGGAGTTCCAGGGACGGCAAAATCTCAGCGAAAAGAAGCGGGTGTAAATTACTCTGTGCCTTCGCTTGGTTCGTCATATATGTCGTATGTTTGTTAGTCATCTATATGCCACGATACAGTGTCATGGGCGTGTCACCATTCAGAGTTGAGGATATAGATGATAGGAGGTCTGCGAGGTTATGTGTACTGTTTGTATATATGTATGGTGTGTCATATCAATTGGTGTTTTTCGATTCACTCTGTTTACTTGTTGTTTTGCTTTGTTGTTTTGTATAATTTTGTTAAAATTTTCGCCGTGCTTACTTCTGAAGTTGTTTCGAGTCTTCTACATCTGTGAATGAATTGATTGATGTTAAAGACAGCAGATGGGGAGGCTAGTGCTAAGAATGACATGCACACGTAGACAAGGATTAGCTGTGGAATCAATGATTGAGAATGAATGTTTCGATTTAGGCTGTGGTCCCACACGCTAGGGAGCGAGAGTGTAGACGACTGAGGCTTGCATACGTCACCGTTACTAGGACTGAGGCAGAATGAATGACAAGTGATAGCAGTGGTAATTGGCACTGAATAGATAAGAGGTTGTGCGAAGAGTATCATGAGGCGCTGTTATGGTCATGTTGCTTTCTGCAAGAGTCATTCTAGCAAGTGGCGATTGTGTTGCAAGATGTCAAGGGAATGCCTTTAACTGGAAGGCGTAGGTCGTCGTCGACGAGTGAGATTGTGCTGTGGGTATGCCTGTGGTGTGTTGGCTTTGCTGTTTGTTTTCCATTTCAGCTTTGTCCTTGTGGCCCAGGTTCTCGCACTGGCATCCAGGTCAACGTGTATTGGTCGTGATGGAAAAAAGGATGGATCTCTTTTTTGCCGGGGAGTGTCAATGTAGTTGAAGAATGAACGATCAATTCATGGTTGTTTACTCAAACCTAACTCCATATTTTGGCGGGAGTCACCGATACTACTGTCATTAATTGTTATGACATTTATTCTTAGACTTTGTGTATAATAACCTTATGGTTGGTTCCATATTGGTGCAACAATAAAGGATTCTCGAGTCACCAATCTGTGTTCTGTTTTTTCGCGTTGGTTATTGCACATTGTTGCTGAAGGTCTTCTAAGGACAGCGTTAAGTCCAGTGCAGTTAGACCTGGCCATTGACACCACTGCCACCGTCCAGTCTTCCAGAAGCCTTAGGTCAGTCTGCGGCATATCTGACTCTTCCGAACATTTTATTGCTCTCCAAACCTTTATTGGGTGGCTTAGACTGCATGGTATGTCATTGACAAAATTCGGGAGCATCAGTGGCCCTAGGATACAGCCTTTCGACACTCCTGATGACAAGCTGTGCCAGGATGATCGGACCTTAGTACAGAATTTCCTTTCATCCAGGTAGTCATTCAACCATGACATAAGCGGCTAACTGCCTGACTTGTTTTCTGTAGGATAAGTTCAAGGAAGACCACATGGATTGTAACATTCATATCCCAGAATAGTGCCCAATCGTCTCAAGCTGAAAGTAGGTTTGTTACAGAGGATCTGCCTTCCCTGAAACCATGTTGTGCTTCATGGAATCTATTAGTCCTATCGAGGTGCTCCCTGATGTGATCATGAATTATACTTTCCAGTACTTCTGATACCACTGGGAGTGGTGCTACTGGTTTATAACTGGTGGCATTTCGCCTGTCCCCACCCTTGAAGATAGGCGAAAGAATAGCTATAAGTATAAAACTTCGGCACTGTGGTAGAGCATAACTCCATTATGGATAAGATTTTATTTTGATAAATCACACAGTGTTGTACAGTAATATTAACTGATGACATCATCAGTCAATATTACTGTACATCATCGGTTAATATTACTGTACAACACTGTGTGATTTATCAAAATAAAATCTTATCCATAATGGAGAAAGAATAGCTCTTTTCCACTCCCTCGTCAAATTCCCTGAATCCATCGAGTGTTGGGACAACTCGCATAAGGGCCTACAGACAGCTTCGGCGCACTGTCTCAGAACAGATAGCCTGATGTGGTACTGAGGTGCTGACAGCTATCGTCAAAGAATTACGGACTTATTGAATGTCGATTGCTAACTGGCACTGTTCTATGTTCCGCGCGTAAGTGATCGGACGTATTTATGAGACTGGCACAGCCTCCCGACAACCGGTCTTTGTCGGTTTATACATTAATTTCTACCGCCGGATTCCAAATAAGAACTGCTTCAGACAGGTCGCGTTCGAAAAACCAAGTGTGTTGTGAGTATATTTACCTGTCTTTATGCGTTTTATTCGTCATTATCTCGACCACCGAATGAACCCTTGAATAGACATAGACAATACATTCTCTCTTTTGTACTAGGGCGACGTTAGGGGCATACTGATCACAAAGTTACTGTGATGCACGCTGAGTTAACGGTTCGTGTCGTGAAGAATTCTACAAGGATGTGTGGCCACACGCAAACGATTTACGTAATTTAAGTTTTAAACCGAGTTATGGAGATCTAATTTCTCAATGCAATGAACAAGATTAGTTTGATAGCAGTCAATACTTATTTTTACACTGGCGTATATTACGACTCCAAGATTACACAGAGTGAATGCATCTGTGCCATAAACAAAGACTTGCAGACATATATCTAGTAGTTCTTCTAGCTGACTGTAAACGATTTTAGGAACCAATAGCAGTTTTTCATTCGACCGACCCAAACACATTTTGAACCTTAACATGTGCTGGCTAACATTATCCCTCGAGGAAGGCGATGGCTTGGTATGCAATCACGCGTTATAGCCATCTCAACCTATTCAGCTTCCCAACCTTGAAGACTAAGTTACCCTCCTCACCTAACACTTTATGCGTAACCTCAAGAGCAATCGCCATATTATACTGCTTTAATCATGAGATCGAACACAGACACCTATAATCAAACACCAGTATTCTTTTCATATTTTCCAGTGTCAGGGGTTACTTCTCATAGTCTAGGTGTACAGTATCATCAGCAAACTGTAAGCTGATGATGATGATAAGTCTCTAAAGTCATTTATAGACTATCCTACTCATATGTGTGATTGGATTGAAACGATATAAGGATGACAGTTTAAGAATTCAGCCTTGTGTTACATCCCAATTGGAAATGTGTTTTCTCGGATAATTCGCAAACAGTAATCACTGAATAGGAAACATTCTGTGGAATTTGTGAAACTCACTAACTGACGCAATACTTTTGCAGGCATTATAGTGTTTCCTCAATAAAGCGAGATTTGTATATTTCTGTTGCATAAAACGAGTAAGTGGTATCCTGGCAATACCAATGACTACAACAAGTCTTGGAATCATGCACCACAACTTTTACTTTACTGAATACTCCAGCAGATTTGAAATATACACTTGAAAAATATCAGATTTATACAGGAAGTCCGTAAGATTTACTAAACTATAACCACTTTCGGTTTACATAGGAGTTCTCCATGCCGAATTAATTCCTTTAAGGGCCTACACAGATTACAACTTCAATAAAGTAACACTGACGTGAAAGAAATTCCATTCTTCATTACTAAATTTAATGATAATAATGTTTTTGTTCTAGAAACAGGAGCATTCCTAATGTTTCACTTTATGTTAATGCAGTTACATACAGTTGCACTAAAAACTCAATGCAACTCGGTGCACAATAGTATGTACACAAATAAACTGAAAAATAACGTCCTCCTTACCTTCTGAACAACTTATCCTTATTACAGGATAATAACTTTCTTTCACGTATGAGCCTGAGATATGTCTATTAAATCACAATTTATATCAGTTAAATCTCGCCCCGAAACCAAGGCCACTTGAAACCAATAGCAACA